ATAAGAATGTGGATGCAGGTGCCAGCCCAAAAAACTTGGGCCTTGGTTTCCACATCTGTAAAATGGGAACAAAAATAGTACCTAAGATCATAGGGCTATTGTGACTGTTAAATGAATTAACTTATGTGAAATGCTCAGACCAGTGTCTGGCACATAATAAGTGTTATACAGTAGTTTGTTCTTATTCTCTGAGCCTCGGTTTCCTTATCTGTAAAATGGGGATCAAAGTAGGTCCCACTTCTTAAGGTCATTGTGAATGTTTAACAAGACAGTGCCTAAAGTGCATTTTGCACCATGCTGCCTGGCACGGAATCAGCCCTCAGTGAATACTGCCTGTTATGTCCAGGGAACCAGAGGCAGGAAAGTGGGAGGTGGCAGGTGTAAGGTGCTTGAACAACGTTACATACATCGACTCCTAAGAATCACCCAGCTGTGCTCACATCACCCTCTGCCAACCTCTGCAGCCTCACCTCCCACCCTAAGTGCCCCTATGGAACTGCTGCCAGTCACCTATGTGCATGTTACACAGTCCCCACCTTTGCATTCTCTGTCTTTTCCCTGGAATGTCCTTTGCATTCATGTTCATAGGGCAAACTCCTATTCATACTTCAAAAGCCAGATCACAGATAATCTCCAGAAACAGGGTAAAGCAGACCCATTTAACCCACCCTCAAACCCTTCCTGAGCTGTAAGAAAGGGCTGGGGTGAGGAGTCCCCCTCTGCCTGCCTGGAAGGGAAAGAACTATTAGAAAGCGTTCATAAACCTTACAGAGGCCTATGGGGTAGGTGTGGCTGTCCATTTTTGACAGAAATTGAGGCCCAGATAGGTTCACTCACTTGGCCTCAGTTACCCAACTGGGAAGTGACAGAGCTGGACCCCAAATCCCAGTGATGCCCTGAGGTCTGAATCCTCCTGGGTGGGGAGGCACATAAGCAGAGGCCCACCTTGGCTTCCTGGAGGAAAGAAAGGGGCCGGATGCAATGACCTCCAGGGCAGGCTGACAAGAAGTCCCAGCTTCTGGGACCTCTGTCTCCAAATTCCAGTTCCTCTTGTCCCTGGACTTCCATGTGGGTATGGGAGGTGGGCTGTGACCCAGGGGAGGGAGAGATGCTGTTTTCCAGTCCTGCATCCATCTGGAGCCCCCTCCCCGTCCCCCAGGGTCCCTGCTGGCTGTTCTGAAGCACAGACACGTCTCAAGGTGCCTCACTCATGGAGGAATCTAATGAAGAGTGCTCTGACGGCACAGAGTCAGGCGAGCACAGTGCCCTCCTTTCTGCCTGCTTTCTGGAGCACCAGATAGAGTTCAGAATTGCCTGGTGCTGCCTGAGCTGGGGGAGGGGAGAAGGGGGTCCCCAAGCAGAAAGGCTTCTCCAAACTAGCCTGACTAAAACCAAGGTACCCCCTCCCTTGGCCACAGCCAGGACCCCAGTCTCCCTTCAGCTTAAACATGGGAACCGGGTGCTCAGGCAAAGCAGAAGTCGTTTCAGCTGCAATGTTGTGGCTCTAAGAAGTGGAGTCCAGGGACTCCCAACCTCTCCAGCCCCATGAGCAAAATCCCAGGCATTCAGGGCCAGACCGAGGACCCTTAGCCCTTTCCCTGGCTTCTCAGTGGACTGGTCCAGTTGAAGCAAAACACTCACTGGCCTTCTTTGTGACCTTGGGCCACTGGTCACCTTCTCTGGACCTCAGTGTTCCCCATGCACAGTAATGGGGTGGGGGTGGGGGTTACCAGATGACCTATAAGGAATTTTCCAGTCCCATTCCAGCCAAGGTCCTTTCCAGAACATTGTGAGGTAGCACAGCCCCTCTCCCTGCCTCCCAAGCCATTGATGCCACTCAGTCCCCCACCCACCGCATGCTCACAGACCCACCTCACGCCCTGCAGATGCCAGTTCCAGGGACTCGGCGCTGAGCACACTGCCTCAGCCTAGCGGCTCAGCAGCTCAGCACTGGTCCGTGGACTTAGTCACAGCTGCTATCCCCAGAGACACTGCCATCTGCCGCCGTCCTGGGTGCTGGAGGCAGAGAAAGGGCGAGGCCAATGCCCCCACGGGAGACAGAGCTTCTCAGGCTCAGGGCTTCGGGCTGGACCAGAAGGTGACAGTCCTGGACTGGCTCAGCACCCTGGTACCTCTCCCTGCCCATCAGAGACCCTGTCCTCTGCCCCCCACCCTCAGGATGGCAGGAGGCGGGATCTGTCTCAGCCAATCAGCAGCCTGGCAGAGCCAGGGCATTATCCTCCGTTGCCCAGGCAACTAGCCTTTTCTTCTGGATCCCTCGCACTGTGCACGTGGTACAGAATGACAGGCAGGGCGGGTTTGGGGGAATCCGGAGAGGACTGGGAGTCACCCAGCAGGCCTCTGGGCCCCCCAACTGGAGGGCCTGGAGAGGAGGGGACCCCAACTGAGATAACAGGGAGGGTTTGAAGGCTTGCCTTTGGGAATAGGGAGAGACTGGGGTCCCTGGCAAGTGGGTGGGGACACCAGCAGTTACCAGTAGAACCAATGAGGATCATATGTTATAGAGGAAAGAACAAAGATGGAGACTGAGAGTCAGACACATTGGTCCGATGTAGCATTTGTCAAGGGCCAAACACTGCTTCCAGAGCTTTCTGTTAACTCACTTATTCGTCACTCAGGATCACAGGGCAAGAAGGTCACAGTGCCAGGGTCTGAGCCCTGGTCTGGCTCCCACGCAGGGGCTCCCCCTCCCAGTTCTGCCTCACCAGCCCCACACACCCTCTAGCGGGAATATGGCTTAAGATAGTTATGGGCCCCGGGCACTAAGCACCCCCATATGCCAGTGAGCATTCGGTAAACAGCAGTGGTTTTTGTCTCAGGAGGAGAGAGCAGCCCCAGAGGCCCACAGGGTGGAGAAGACGCTCTCCCCGGGGAGTTCATTCCCAGAAACCTGAGGACAGGCAGGTGGGAAAGGCTGCGGGTGAGATGACTTCAGGATCCTGGGTTCTCCACCCACAGCTCTGGAATCATCTGGGTCCCTGCAAGGGTGGCGGGTCCTCCCCAGCACAGGGCAAGGAGAGTGAGTGGACTTCACAGAGGCATTTTCATGGAGGTGTAAAGTACATACAGGAAAATGCAAATCTTACGCGATGAATTTTTACTCATGTATACAGTTGTGCAACCACCACCCAGGTCAATGTCTAGGATATTTCCATCGCCCCGGGTAGTTCCCTCCTGCCTTCATCAGTCAATACCTCCTTCCCAAAGGCACTCGCTGACCTGATGTCCATCAGATAGACTAGTTGGCCTGTGTTCGAATGTCATTTCGATGGGATCACACGGCATGCACTCTTTTGTGTCCGGCTCAGCACAGTGCTTTCACCACTCACTGATGTTGCCTGTGCCAGTGCACAACTTGTTTATCTCTTCACCTCTGAAGGGCGTTTGGGTTGTTTCCAGTGCTAGGCTATTGTGAGCAAAGCTGCCACAGTGCTTTTCCACAGTTGGAGTGGGAGGGCAGGGAGGAGTTGGGGAAGGGTTGACAGAGGGGTGCGGAGAAACCCGGGGGGTGCGGTGGTTACGGGCTTTTTCATTATCCTGATTGTGGTGGGGGCTTTCTATATGTCATAACTTATCAAAGTATGTACTTTAAATATGTATAGCTTATTGTATGTCAACTATACTTTAATAAATCTGTAAAAAATGGGATCAGTGGCCTTTAGATATTGTTTTAGCCTCATGATTATTATTTTTTGTTAACCCTCACCCAAGGAGATTTTTTCCATTGATCTTTAGAGAGAGTGGAAGGGAGGGAGGGAGAGAGAGAAACATCGACGTGAGAGAGACACATCGATTGACTGCCTCACGCACATGCCCCTATGGGGACTGGGGATCAAACCTGCAACCCAAGTACGTGCCCTTGACCAGGAATCAAACCCATGACCCTTTGGTGTGTGTGCCAACGCTCTAACCACTGACCCACACCAGCCAGGGCCTTCATGATTCTTTATTCACACAAAAACTTATGGAAGTTCAATGAGTAACAGAGATAAAGCGAGAGCCGCTTTGTTAAATGGTGAGGTGGGCATCCTTTCTGGACCCCACCCACACAGCTTCCCCTGCCCCTCACAGTGCCCTTGAGACATCTCCCCAGGGCTCCACAGAAGCCAATTTGAAAACCATTGGCCCAGAGAATCTCTGGAGGCCCTGCCAGTTCAAGGTGTTCTTGATACAAAACCTCCAGGCCTGGGTCTGGCCTTCTTGCCAATCCCTACCTTTCATCACAGTATGGACCCTACACACAACCATCTTCTATGGCACTGCCCATATTGCAAGCACCAACTCACTGGGACACCTCACCCAACAGTTGCCTCCCTGCGCAGTGTTGCAGAGGCTCCCAAGGGATCCTTTATACACCTCCACCTGGGCTCCTGCTGCTCCAGGTGGCTGTCACCCACTGCGCTGCATTTGGCTGTTGTCACCTGCCCACCCAACCACTGATGGCTCCTTGGAGCAGGGGTGACCTCTGGTGCCGGGGTCACTCTCCCAACACTGGCCCTGGCCCAAGGCAGGCACTAAGGACACGCTGACCTATTGGCTCTCAGCTTGGTCCCTCCTAGAAAGTGCTGACCAGGGCCCAGAGTTTTTCCACGACTTGGTCACCTGGCCCTCTGTCACCGGGACCCTCAGCTCCCTGCTGCTCCTCAGAAGTGTCAGGAATGCTCCCCTGGGCATCTTAGCACTTGCTGCTCCTTCGGCGTATCCTCGGGTAAGACTTAAAGGGAAAAAGGGGGGGGGACACAGGGAATGAGCATGAGTGAACGAGTGGGTCACTGAATACCTTCTTTCTCCGAGGCGTGAACTAGAAGGCCGGTCGCATGGGCAGCACCTTCAGAGCCTGGGGCCAGCGCTGGACCGCCCCTCAGAAAAGGAGGCCGCGGTTCCTTTAAGAGAGAGGGCTCCGCCCCGCGAAGCCCCGCCCAGAGAGGGTCACGTGCCCCTGGCGGGAGCATCCGGGTTGAGCCGCGGGGAGGTTTGAAAGCCAGGCGCGCACCGCCCGAGCGCCGGTTCCGCCTGCGCCTGGGACCTGCGCCTGGGATGTCGGTGCTGCGGTGGCAGGATCAGCTGCCCGGCCTGAACGCGGCCACCATCTTGGTAGGGTCAGCGGCCCCGCTTCCTCCGCCGCCTTTCCTCCTCGGCTGTGCTTCGGCGGCCCGGGGCTCTGCGCTCTCCTTGGGGCTCGCGCTAGCTGTTCGCGCTAGGGTGGTGGGCGGGATGGCCACACCCTGGCCCAATCGGAATAGCCTCCGTCTGAGACGGAAGGATTCCCCCACCAGTAGGTGCGCTGGTGACTATTTCCCGGTTTCTGATTGGTTTCTGGCCCCCCGGGACTTGCTTTTTCTTCGTCTCAGAGTAAAGCCCGGAGCAGTCCGAGGGAGGGTCCGGGAGGTAGGAAGAGCTGGGCGGCCAGGACCCGAAAGGGTGCAAACCTCGGGCGCTCAGCCCGCGCCTGGCGGAGACTTCTTTCCGTAGACGGCGTCCTGCACGCTGGAGCCAGAACCCTGGGGGTCGTGGCCGCCTTCGGTCCGTGCCCGGATCCCTATGCCCTCCAGAGGGACCGCTGTGCCCAGTTATCAACCGGCCGCCTTCTCTCTCTGGGCAGCTGGTGGGCACGGAGGATGCGCTTCTGCAGCAGCTGGCCGATTCGATGCTCAAGGAGGACTGCGCCTCCAACCTGAAGGTGTAAGTAGCTGAAGCTGGGGGTGACCGATGGCTCGGCTGTGGCCTGAGCTCTGGCCCGGGCGCGAGGGACAGCGGAGGAGCCTCCCGAGAGGCGGGGGCAGGTGGAGCGGGTTGGCGAACCCCTGCACCCTCCTTAACGGCCCATCTGCCCCCGCTCACCCCGCCCCCATCTAAAGTATCCACCATCACTCTGTCGCACACTTGTTCTCTTCCTCTGACACTTGTCACCATAAGAAATTTCCTTGCTCACCGGTTCGTTCACTCATTGCCTGTCTACCACGCCCATGGGCCCCAAGGTCAGCCCCTTGCGGGCAGGGACTTTGACCTTTGTTCACTGGTGAATCCCCAGTGTCTGGCACAGTGATGTACCCCCCCCAAATTTGGAGAAAAGGTGACTGAGGAAGTATATTTTGTTTTCCTTCTTCTAATGGGAAGTAGAAACAACTGCTGAAGGAGTCAAGGGACTGTATGTATGTCGGTGTTGTTTGCACTGATAGGAAGATAAGCTTCTGGGGTCCCTGTTGAATTCCTTCCAGTCATCCAAATCTAAAGGGCATTTCCTCCGTGGGAACTGGAAATACCCCTGACTAGGTAGAATAAATCCTGATGCAGCACTTTAAAAAACCTCTGATGAGGGAACATAATCTTTTTTTTTTCCTAAATAAAGATTGTTCATAGGCCTGTCTGCTTTACCCATCTTGCCAGCCTCTTAGGCCACAGAACGTCGAACACAACCAACTATCTCAAACCCACAGCTTAGAAATAGGAAAGGGTTTTTTAAAAATAATTTATTTAGCCCGGCCGGGCATGGCTCAGCAGTTGAGCATTGACCTAGGATCCAGGCGATCAGAGTTCGATTCCCGATCAGGGCACATGCCTGGGTTTCGGGCTCGATCCCCAGTCGGGGGCCTTGCAGGAGGCAGCTGATGAATGACTCTCTCATCATTGATGTTTCTATCTCTCTCTCTCCCTCTCCTTTCCTCTCTCTGAAATCAATAAAGATATGTTTTAAAATAAAAAAATTAAAATAAAAAGATAACAATAATTTATTTAATTAGCATCAGGGTAAATGGAAGATGTGGACAAAATTGCCTACATTGAGCCCAATAGAAAGAAGTGTCATGGAAATCTTTGCCAAAACAAGGGCAAGTCACATGACATGCAGAAATCTGATGAAGAACCACTCTGGAAAAAGAAGAAAGCTCCTTTTTGAGTATTTTGTGCCATTTAGGAATTTAATAAGAATCTGAATTTTTAAGAGGCATTCAAAGACCAAACAATAAAACAACAGAATAAAAGGAAGAGGGCGGTTGTAGAGCTAAGGGCCAAAAATAATACCATAGGTGATCTAACAAATAGAAACATCAATGATGAGAGAGTTCTCTTTGATCAGCTGCCTCCTGCATGAGCCCACAACCCGGGCATGTGCCCTGACCTAGAATTGAACCGCAATCTCCTGAATCCTAGGTCGATGCTCAACGGCCGACACACGCCTGGCTGGGTGTTTATCTCTTTATTGATGAACTATTTAGTTGACAGAGAGAGCCTCCTCAGCTCCCTTTGCCTCTCTCATGGCGACCTCAGTGTTCCAGAGTGACAGCTTCATCAGCCTAGGTCCAATATTAGAGCAAAATAGAAATATATATAATAATAACAATAATAATAATAATGTCTTGTCCAAATGGTAGGGTAAGATATAAGAATGTTAATGTTCTTGTTATTTGTAACAGATAATCCAATATAGATAACATTGAAACATATAGTTTAAAATGATACCAATATACTAATGTTTTCTTAATTAGGTACTTCCAGGAAATAATCTCTGTGATTAAAAAATAATTTATCTAGGTTCGTCTATTTTTTTCAATTCTACTTTAGTTTTTTTGCTTTCATTAAATGCAAATTAAATTAATACTATTATCCTATTTTTAGATTATATCTATTCTAGTGTCTGAATGTGTATAGTATGTTATATACATGAAGAGATGTTTAGAAAAATGCTCTAATTAATGTTAATAGTAGTAATTTCTATGTAACTGGACTTTTAGGAGTGTGTGTGTGTTTTAAATATATTATTATTGAATTAGAGAGAGAGAGAAACCTCAATCTGTTGCCTCCTGTGCCCACCGAACCAGGGATCGAGCCCACAGTCTGGGCACATGCCCTGACCAGGAATTGAACCGGTGACCCCTTGGTGCATGGGAAGCTCAACCAGTTGAGCCACACTGGCCAGGGCTGTGTGTGTGTATTTTTTAACTTTTGTGGTTTTTGTACTTTTTGTAACTAAGGTGGGGGTGGGAGGAGATGGGTAATAGGAAAACATGGAAATGGGCAGAAGTAGAAGGTTAAAAAAAACCCTTCAGGTGGGTATTTGACAACCAGAGACCAAGTCCAGACAAGAGTGATGAGGGTGGTTTGTCTAGAGTCACATAGCTGGTAATTGACAGAACTGGGATTTGAACCTACATCTCTCACACTCCAAAGGAGTTCAGTCTTAACCCTTAAGCTTCACAGTTCAGCACCTTCTTCTGAGCCTGGCCTCCCTTCCAGCATGCAGTTAGCGTGCTAACCCCATGCCATCTTCTATCCAAAGCTCCCTCTTGCCAAGGCAGTTACTAAACAGAACTCCTTTCTGGCAGAGGAGTCAGAAGAAAGTAATCGGGGTAGGACCCGCCCTGCCCGTCTGCTCACCTGGGGTTTCGTGCCCAGGAGGGCATCTGGTAAATAGGTGAAGCACCTCTGATGGCCTCTTGTTCTATGACGGACATGTAAATGGTCACGGGAACGTGGGTACATGTATCTTAAGTTCTGCAGTTTCTTGTTTTTCAGCCACTTGGCACATTCCCTCCCTCTGCCCTCCAGTGTGAATCGCCCCCGAATTGACCTCATTGTGTTCGTGGTCAACCTGCACAGCAAATACAGGTGAGAGCCAGAGGACGGGGCTGTCGGGGCTCAGGTGGCCCTGGCTTAGGGGTGTGCTGGGACAGGGACCTCACTTATGATGGGAAGGAGAGGAGGCAGGGAGAGGCTGCCTAGGGTTAACCTAGAGGGTGAGGAGGGAGAGCCAGTGGCCAGTAGAAGACGTTTAAAAGACACTAATAACTCCTAGCAGTGTCATCTGTCATCTAACTAATGCTTTCTGAGGTCTGCTCTGTATCCCTGACAGCAGGCGCAGAATGACTGAAACAGACCCCTGTCCTCAATGTGTTCCTAGTCCACTGTGGGAGAAGGCTAGTCTTTCGAACACTTGTGAGAGCCCACACAAGACCTTTAACTCTCAGGACTTAGTCAGGGTGGACTTTCTGGTGGAGGTGACACCTGAACGGTGAGGAGGAGTTAGCCAGGTAAAGATGGGAGTGAACACATGTTCCAGGCAAAGAGTTAATGTGAAAAGTATAGGGCGTAGGGGACTATTACAACCTGTGCGAGGTCAGGAGCCCAGTCTAGTGTGGGGCCATGGCCGTGGCAGCTGGAGTGGCCTGGCCTGGCCTCCCTGTGGTGATGGCAGCCCTGGGGACAGGACTGTAGCCAGCCTGAGGAGCGCAGAAGGGAGGTGTGCCCTCTCCCCCCTGGGGGACAGCTGGCTGAGGTTAGGCAGGGCACGAGGTGCAGGACAGAAACCAACACAACCTCTGGGCCTATGGTGGGGATTAAGGGAAGCTGTGGGCAAAACATCTGGGATCCCAGGGGCATAGCGACACCAGACACAGGTAGCATCAGGGTTAAGTCCAGACTCACCCTCCGACCAGGCGGAACTGGTCAGCAGTGACTTAAGCCTGTGACGGGCTGAGCAATCGTCAGCTGCCATGACTCCCAAGCGTCCTGGCTCAGCAGACCTATTGCTGTTTGGGTGAAGCCTCTCTGTTCACCAAAAGGGATCCTGGCTAGTTTTCAGAGAAATGCTGCTCTCCAGCCACACTTAGGGGCAGGCACATCATTGCTGTTAGCCTTGTTCGGGCCGAAACCTTGGCCGGGGCCTCCTGACCAAGATGGCTTTTTGACCAGGAGACCATAGATGCCTTCATCACTCATTCCCTGGACCGCAGGAAGTGAAAGCCTTGCCGAAGGCCAGGTGCCTTGTCTAAACACTGTAACCTGATTAGGAAGTGATTTGGCAATACCTATATACATTTTAAAAAGACCCAGCCATTCTGTACTCCAGACACATTTGCTTGGACGTGTAAGGCTGTGTAAAGGAGTGTGCCTGCAGCATTCTTGCACTGAGGAAGGGGCAGAGACCACGGGAGTGCCCATCACTGGGACAACTGTGTGGTGCTGTGGTCGGTCCAGAGAATGAGACAGATACGTGGATGCTTCCCTGTCTGTATTTGCATGTGAAAAACATTCTAGAAGAATTACACCCCAAACGGCTGGCAGCAGTTCCCTCTGGGGAGTTGGGACTAAAGGGTGGCACTGGAGAAGGGGGCTTTTACTGTTTAATTATACATCCATATTTCCTGTTTCACTACTTGACAGGCTTGGGTCACTTTGTAATCAAAAGCAGTTTGAGAAAATGAAAAGGACCCAGTATTCCAGTACGCTGGGCAGCTTCCTGTCACCTCCTTGTTCTCTGGCCTCCCTGGGGTGGGGAGCGGGCCACTGCGCTCTGTTGTAAGGCTTGTCTTCTGGTTTGTTTTCTCTCCCCGGCCTGGCACCCCAGCCTGCAGAATGTGGAGGAGTCCCTGCACCATGTGGATGCGACCTTCTTCTTGGGGAAGGTGGGCTTCCTCGCCACGGGCGGTAAGTGCATCCCTCGCCCGCCCCTGCCCACCCCCACCCAGGGCAGTTGGCACCGTGGTGGACCCCTTGCACTGTGGTAGCACCTGGCTGATGGAATCTGACCTGTTGTCGGTCTTTCTAAAAGCACGTCTGAGCGGGTCATTCCACTGAGTTAATTCTGCTGAGATCATTGTTTAGAGTTTCCTGGTAGTTTTAGAGTAAAACCCAACTCCTGTAAAGGCCCAGCATGTTCTGTAGCTTGGCTCCTGCCTTCCTGCCCACTCTCACCTCCTAGCTCTCCCGTTCTTTGGTTCAGCTTGCGTCCTCTGAACAAGTCTACTGTCTCTGCAACTTTGTGTTACTAGCAGTGGAAATAACGATAGCTAACCTTCACTGAGCACCCACTGTCTGCCAGACACTGCTCTGGGTGCCTTGTTTTATGTCACTAGTCTTCACAAACAACCCTTTGAGGTGGGTATTAGTCTCTCTTTTATAGCCGAAGAAACTGGTCATGAGGTTAAGTAACTTGCCCAAGGCCCCATAGCTAAAAAGTAGTAGAGCTGAGATTCATACGTAGTCATATTCCTGAGCCATATGGCTTCTCTCAGATACTCTCTTCCTCTTCTGCCTAATAACCTCTCTTTTCGCTGTCCTGGGGAAGCCTCCCTGACCAGCCCTGCAATCTGGGACCACGGGGTACCCATCCTGCACTGACGGTGCATTTTACCTGTCTGCCCCCTGAGCTGAACTGTGAGCCTGGCACAGATTGTTCTCAGAAAGCATTGGTGAGCCCTGGCCTGTGTGGCTCAGTTGGTTGGGCATCATCCTGGGCACCAAAAGGTTGCCGGTTCTATTCCCAGGCAGGGCACATGCCCACGTTGCAGGCTCGATCCCTGGTAGGGGGCATGGAGGAGGCAGCTAATCGATGTTTTGCTCTCACATTGATGTTTCTGTCTCTCTCCCTTTCCTTTCCTCTCTTTCTAAAGTCAATTTAAAAAGTCTTTAAAAAAATAGAAATAAAAAGCATTGGTGACTAAATGAATGCGAGGTCATTTTTATATGTCAATCCACTGAGTCGCTATGGTAACTCAGTGGGGCTGTTACTGTCACCTTTTATAGACCAGGAAACTTTTCATAGCCCTTCCAAAGCCCTTTCAGCCTTACTTTCTAACCTGATCTCAACAGCCCTGAAGAGGAGATGGAACAGGGTTATCACCCCGACTAGTTAGAAACAGGCCCAGAGAGGGAAGTAAACTGCCTGGCCCAGTCTTCCTAGATGGCAGCGTGAAGGTAGCGGGCACAGCCGCAGCACTCACCGCTTCTTTGCAGCCGGGCGGGAGAGTCACTGCAGCATCCACCGGAACACCGTGCTGAAGCTGGCCCAAGCCTACCGGAGCCCCCTGCTCTTCTGTGACCTGGAGGTGAGGATCCATCACGCGGGTGTGGGGAGTGGCGGTCAGCGCACAGTGGGCTCATCGGGACTGCTCCGAGGACCCCTGAGTACTGAGTGAGGATCCTGACGTAGAGACACAAGGTCCTGGTTTGAATCCTGGCTTGTCCACTTACTGACTGTGGCTTGGATGGGTCATTCTAAGCCTTGGGTACACAAATGTGAAGTGGATGACATATATTCATCTTCAGTGCCTCGTATGTGCCAGGTGCTATCCCTTCTTACCTGGCTTATTCTTCTGTTTTGTTTTCTCTACTCGTAACCAAGCCTGTGTGTGTATTTGTGGGTCCATGTTAATATCTCACTCTCTTACAAGGGATAAGAGCTGTGAGGCCGGGAACCTCATCTGTCCCATTAACCAGTGCATCCTCATGACCCGGGCAGTCAGAATGCCGTGTCCCCTCACCGCTCTGATTGCAGACCTTGTCCAGTCCCAGCTTGGGGCAGAGTGTCCAGCAGGCAGTGGGAATGGTGGCTGGGTGGGTAGATGTTGGATGGATACATATGGTGTTGGTTCTGCCCTGACTCACTTCTGTTGGTGTTTCTGAAGGTGAGCCCTAATTGTGGGCAGTGCCGAGCAGGTTTCTGTTTGCTCTTTAGCCTCTCCTTCTGCAGCACGAATCCTGACAACTTTGCTAGAGGGTCCTGAGCAGGAGTTGATGCTGCTCCCTGGGAGGTCTGCTGAGGGCTCCAGGGCCTGGGCTGCCCTACCCATGCACCAGGCCTGCTCAGGTGGCTTTGGGGTCTATTTATTGGCTTTGAGGCTTATTTAGAAGACTTGTGTTTCTGGTATGAAGACACCCATTCCCAAAGGCAAAGTGATGTAACAGAATTGAGTCAGCATGCGGCCCTTCACCACCATCTGGATCATGGGTTCTTATTCTGCGGTCTGTGGACCCGTCCAATCTGAGAGTAGAATTTAGGAGATCTGTGAACATGGGTGAGAAGATTACTTCTTTTATTTTACCTCTGAGTGGAATTTAGCTTTATGAGTGTAAGCAAGAGATGTCAGGAGCATTAGCAGAATCTATGACTGTTGCCAATAGTCGTGGCCAGTGCATGAGGATGTCGGCTAACCGGGTGGTGGGCGGTGCAGTTCCGCGCATGGCCAGTAGGTGGCAGGCCACACCAGGTCCTGGGTTACCTGGCGCCTGAGAACTTCAGAAAAGGCCCGTGGCTGCTATTTCCAGTCCCCCTCAGACCTGCTGAGAACCGAGACCTGCATCCCTCAGAGGGCGGGCCCAGTGTTTGGACAGTCATCACTCCTAGGACCTTTCAGGTCACACTCCTCCACGTAGTCAAGTTTGGGTCCCACCATATTTTGAGTCTTTGCACGGCAAGAATTATCACCCCCTTTACACATGAGGAAACCCACTCAGCGAGGTGTGGGATTCACCCACTGAAATTATTTCCTAGCTCTGCCGATTTCTGAGTTCTGATCCCTGAGAACACAAAGGAGTCAGACATTGACCCTCAGAATCTAGTAAGATGGACGGGCACGTTATATATGCAACAGAAGAATTTGCAGAGCTTTAGAAGCCTGGTGGTGGGATTAAGTCCTTCCTTCCTGTAGGTGACAGAGGCAGTTGGAATGTGGTCAGACTTGGGTTTGGGGGCCAGGCCTCTGGAGTGTGGTGTGTGATTGGAGGAGGCCTGGCCAGAGACCGGAGGCAGGCTGCAGAGCCTGAGCCAGTGGCTTGGAGCTATATTTCGGAGGCAAAGGCCACAGAACTTAGAGTAAGAGGATTTATTCAACAAATAGTTCTTACATGTCTGCAGTGTGCCAAGCACTCCTCTAGGCACTAGGGATGCGGCATAGAACCAAACAGTAAATAAAAAAATCCCAGCTCTATTCTGGTGGACGAAGCAGACGTAGAATGCATAATCTGTTAGAAAATGGGGGGGGGTGACATGTCAGGTGTTGGAGAAGCAGTAAGATTTAGATAGGGTGTTCACTAAAAAAGCGGCCTTTAAGTGAAGACAAAGGCAGTAAGAAGGCAAGCTACCGCCCGGCCAGCATGGCTCAGTGGTTGAGTGTCGACCCATGAACCAGGAGGTCACGGTTTGATTGCCAGTCAGGGCACATGCCTGGGTTGCGGGCTCAATCCCAGGTAGGAAGCGTGCAGGAAGCAGCTGATCGATGACTCTCTCCCTCATCATTGATGTTTCTTTCTCCCTTCCTCTCTGAAATAAAAAACATTTAAAAAAACAACAAAAAATGGCAAGCCATCAAGGCTCCTGGTGGCAAAGCACACTAAGCAGGAGAAGCGGCATGTGCAAAGGCCCTGAGTCTGGAACTTGCCTGGTGTGTTCAAGGTCCCACAGGGAGATGTGGGTGGCTGGAGCAGACCAACAAGGGGCAGAGTAGGGGGAGATCAGAGTGATAGTGTGGCCAGATCAGTAGGTCCTGTGGGCAGTAGCAAAGGAAGTGGCTTTTACTCTGAGTAAAACCAGAGCCACTGCAGGGTGAGGCAAGGATGGGAGGTGGCCTGGCTGGGGTTTTAAGTGGATCCCTGCAGCTGTTGAGAGGAGAGTANCTCAGGGTGAGGCAAGGATGGGAGGTGGCCTGGCTGGGGTTTTAAGTGGATCCCTGCAGCTGTTGAGAGGAGAGTAGACTGAAGGGAGGCAAGGGCAGGAGTAGGGAGTCACGCCGAGCGGCTGTTTCTAGAAGAGTTAACAGTGGCCTGGACTCGGTGGTGCCAGGGAAGAGGGAGATGGGATGCTCTATGGTACTGGCTGTTTCCAGGTGGCAGACTGTGCTGGTGGCCTGGATGTGAGGCACAAGAGCAAGAAGAGTCCGGGGGACTTGAGCTTTCGGCCTTTGGCTGAGCTAGGGAAGACCGTAGGAGGAGCAGGTTTCGGGGACTCCCAGGGGCTCCGCTTTGGACATGCTAAGATTAAGGTGTCTGTTAGATTACACAGAAACCGAGCAGGCAGCTGATACATGTGTCTGACACAGAGAGGGAAGGTCTGGAGATGGAATTTGGGATTGAGGTGGTTTTAGAGCCACAGAACTGGATGCGGTCATCTAAGGAGTTAGTGTGGGGAGGGCCGGGCACCGGAGCCCCCTGCACTTAGGTGCTGGACAGAGAGGAGGGAGCAGCCTGGGAGGTGGGCAGGAAAGTGGGTGACCCTGGGTCCTGGGAGCGAAGGAGAAAACGCCATTTCAAGGAGGGAGGGGCTGCGTCAGATTCTACTGGAGAGTCTCTGGGAATGAGGCCAGTGTGATGAGGACCATGGCTTCACCTCAGATTTAGGACCGAGGGGGTGACAAGTGACACATGGCGGGAGTAAGAGTAGGAGAACAGGAGGATGCCTGTCTCTGGTTTGGGCCTCTGTGAGCCCGGCGCCTTCCCCAGCTGGAGAGGGACCGGGAAGGAAGCGGTGTTTCCGAGGCCCCTGCTGGCGGGGGGCATCTAAGGTCACGTTCAATGAGCGTTTATGGAGTGTCTCCTATTTGCCGGCAGCAGCTGGTGCCAGGCCCGGGAACAGTGTAACCCACACTCCTCAGCCCCGCAGCCTCCCAAAGCCCTGGTCCGGGGGCTCTTTGTTGGAGGCATCTCCCTTCTCCCGGTGAGGGCTGCTCTCCGCCCACCCCTCCTGCCCATCCCTGGGGTGTCTTTCTCAGATCCAGGTAAGGGAGCCTTCAGGGCCTCTGGCCCCTGGTTGAGATGCCAGCTGCGTGGTCACTAAGTGTGTGACTCTGGACAGTTTGCCTACCTCGCCAGCCCTGCTGCTGAGCCTTCGTTTCCTCTGGAGCAGGGCTCATCGTCTCTGGTGTCCCTGGAGGGTGTTTGAAGGAGTTGTAAGCCGAGATAGCTGCAAGCTGCTTGGAGAGGCATGCCGTGGATGAGGTCATGGCTGCGATGGGCAGCGGTGCACTGATCTGTGCCCCTGTCTCGGACCCCAGCCCCCCTCAGGCAGCCCCGCGCGGCTGCTCTGACTGCAGCTCTCTGCTCTTCCCCTGCAGGTAGAAAGCTTTCGGGTCACCATGGCGCAGCGCCTGGTCCGCATGCTGCAGGTCTGTGCGGGCCACGTGCCCGGCGTCTCGGCCCTGAACCTGCTGTCCCTGATGAGGAGCTCCGAGAGCCTCTTCCTGGAGGACCTGTGAGGGCCGCTGCCTGAAGGCCTGGTCGAGGCTTGACAGGCCCTGCCAGGGGTCAGCGGTCACTGCCCCGCGGGAGAGCTGAGCGGGGAGCCCCGCTGGCGGGAGCAGCCCGCCTCCCACTCCCACACTCACTCCAGCAGAGCCTTGTCTCTCCCCGTTGGACACGGTCCATTTCCCCTCAAGACCTCATTTGAACAAAGGGTCTGTGGCTAAAAACAGTTAGAAACTCACTTGTCTCACCCACCACTTTGATTTTGCAGGTGAACTGACTCAGAACAATTAAGAGGAGGGGAGGGGAGGGGAACGTGGCCTCTGTGAGCCCAGTTTGACTCCATATCCGGGCCTTGCTATTCTTAGAGAAGCTGCTTGTTGCTTCTTGGAGCCTCAGTTTCCCGGGGTGAAATGATCTCATTTTCCCTTGTTGCGCTGTGGGTACTGAATGAAATGACAGCGAAGGGCCTGAGCTGGTATTACTCCCTGTGCTTGCTCGTGGGCTGATATTTCTTAATAAACTTGTCAGTGCCTCGCACAGTGCCAGGTAGGCACTCAGTGAACAGTGACTATTATTTGAAATCACACAGAGCTAAGTTCAAAACCTAGTGCAAATCCAGAATTACACACTGAATTCCTCAGTTTGTGAGAATTGAGAGAAGCTGGCTGGGCACAGGGCAGCCTGGGGGGCAAATGGGAGGTCTGGTGGGAGAGAGCCAGGTCATGGCTGCCTTGGAGCATGACAGCACCTCTGCACCCTCACCCTCCTGTGCCAGGACCTGCCCTCCACCCGCGGGCGTCAGGATGATCCCTGCTTGATGCCCTGGGCAGTGCCGGCTCTGCAGGGCCTCTGCTTTGACGTCACCATCACAGCCAGCACTCATGATCCTCATTGGAGGGTGGGCCAACTTCAAACCTGTTAGGGGTATCATGAGGGTAGGGCCCTACATTTCTCCTTCCCATGGCTTCCTTCCAGCACCTCGCCAGTGCCCACCCCTGGAGCTCAGTTCAGTTGCACAGACGTCCTTGAGGCAGCCTCCTGTGCCCACCAAGCACCTCAGCTATGTAGATTTCGGTTGAGGCCCCAGATGTCACCGGACATTGGCAGGGCCTTCACATTCTACGGAGCTCTCACAGTCTCCTCGTCTCCTCCTAGCAGACCTGTGAGGTTGACGATGTTTCCCCATTTCACAGTTAATGAAACCGAGACTTGTGAGCAGAGGTGTGTCCACAGTCACGGAGCTGATCAGCTGCAGAGCCCACCCCTGGCCATAGTCTGCTTTTTTCCTCCAGTTTTCTTATTTGGCTTATCGTTGAACAAAGGCAGGTTAGGGGCATCTGCTGGGCAGGCCCTGAACTGGGAACAGAAGTGAAGACACAGGCCTGGTGCCTGAGAAAGCAGCCATTGAAGGGCAGTCTCTAAGCGCCACTGCCACATGTTGGGGTCTGCCCTTCAGGAGAGGACTTCTGGGTACCCCTGGCACAGGGGGAGGCTTCGTGGAGGAGAGGGCTGTGAGCAGGCTAAGAGCACTGACCCACGCCAGGAGAGAAGGGTGGTGTGGACTCAGCCAGCTAGGATGGGGCATGGCACTTTTTGCTGGAGACAAGGGGTGGTTCTCTCCATCCCCCCTAACCTGCCCTCAGCCAGCATGGGGCACACTTCTTTCTCTCCAGTCCCTGTGCCATGTTTTCTTTGCCACCTGGTGTCATTTAACAAGAGAAGTGGCGCCACATTCTCCAGCAGAGGATCTGGAAGCCGTCCAAGTGCTGGGGGAACACAACGCTGTTCCTGCTGCCAGCTCCAGCGAGCTTGGCAGGGGCTCCGGATCCCAGAGGCCACCTCTGCCTCACAGCGGAGCTGAGCAACCCCTCAACAGCAGTCAGTGGCCCTCTGCGGCCCTCTCCAGCCTGCTGCCTCTGACCAGGCGGTGTAGCTGCTCTGCACCGTCCAGAGGCCAGTTTGACCAAGGGGAGGCCGGGAAGGCCAGTCCTTATGCACCAAGGTGCCCAGCATCAGTGCTTGGCGCTGTGCAGGGAGGCAAGAGAGCCCGTGCTTGGCTGCTCACTGATCTCATGACCTCAGGCAGGTCACTTACCTTCGTGAACCTCAGTTTCCTCATCTGTAGAATGGGGTCAGGCTAATTAATACCTTTCTCCCTGGGAGGATTGAGATGACAAATTATTTCAAACATAAAGCTTGAAACAAATGTTAAGAGCTCTCAGGCTGGCCGCAGTCCCAAGGTGGTCACATGGGAGGTGATTATTGACAGGCGACTGGTCTGAGAGGGTGGGCGGTCTGAGACTCCTGCGGAGACGCCCTTCCGCTACGCCTGGAAGCTGCTGGTCCACCCTCTCTGAGCAGAGGAAACAGCGGGGCATTTGGGCCCCTGCTTTGTGGATGAGGCATCCAAGGCTCTCAGAGGGGCAGGGCTTGTTCAGGGTCACAGGTTCTTTTGTCCCCTCAAGCCACCTGGCTGTGGGCAGCCCTTGGGCCTGCCCCAGGGAACTCACGTTTGTGTAGGAGGTGGCCCAGGCCCATGCATTCTGGCCCCAATCGTGATGTTTCCCATCCCTGCAAGAAGGCAGGGCCTCCTGGTGAGGAGGGGGCTGAATCTCGGTGCCTGTCTCCACCCCTCCTGGGACAAAGGCAGGGCAGCCCAGCCACAGAGGGGAAGTGATGCAGTGGGAAAGGGCTTGGCCTTTGAGCCCCACTGACTTGGGGTCTGTGGCCAACCTGAAGTGTCACCTGGTGAAGCTCACTTCCTGTCCCTGCACCCCAGAGCCTCTTGAGGTTCTTGTGAGACTACAAAAAAACAAAGAAACTGACCCCCACCCTGCCTGTCCCGTGTCTGCTATCCAGACAGTGGCCCCTGGAGGGCTGGCTGGCTGTGCCCAGGGCTGTGGTAGGTGAGGTGAGCTGGGAGCTCTGACCTAAAGCCCCACCTCAGCTTTCTCCCCACCCACTCCCCATCCCACCCCACCCTCCCTGCACAGCTAGTGTTGGGCCAGGCCTACCTGGCGGGACTGCAACACAAACTTTAAAAAAATCCTCACCCAAGGATATTTTTTTCCATTGCTTTTCAGAGAGAGTGGAAGGGGGGAGAGAGAGAAATACCAACGTGAGAGACACATCGATTGGCTGCCTTCCGCATGCACCCCAACCGGAGCTGGGGATTGAGCCTGCAACCCTGGTACATACTCTTGACAGGAATCGAACCCGGGACCCTTCAGTCCGGGGAGTGGGGAGGCGATGCTCTCACTACTGAGCCAAACTGGCCAGGGCCAAAGGGACCCATTCCACAGGTGCCTGCTGGCCTAACCCCCCTTCCCTCAGCCTCCCCTGGGGCCACAGGGGGCAGGTATTGAATCACTGTGAAAGGACTTCACCCAGACAATTGCAGACCCGAGGGGTGGAGGAGGGGGGCCTGGGAGACTGGTGGGCTGCCAGGCCCTGCACCCCTAAATCTGAGTCCCGCTTGAGTGCAACCCTAGGGACTGGGGACTGCTGAGGACCAGCTCTGGAGGGACAGTGGGTGGCAGTCCCCAGTGCCCTTTCCTTGGGGCTACCCTCTCACATCAGGGGAATGCCAAACACTTTTGGGGGGCCCTCAGGCTAACATTTGGTAGACGCCTGACTGAAGATGACCCTGCAAGGCCAGACCCAGAGGGGGTCCCCAGCACTTGGTCCCCCTCTGCTATGCTGGACCACAGGCTCCTCGAGAGGGAGAGGACCCCACAGATGTGTGTCGTGGGAGGGGGTTGGGTGAGCTCAGGGGCCGAGGAGCTGCGTGGCCTGTCCCTTATCCTTCTGAGCTTGCTTTCCTCTTTGAAAGTAGACTCTGACACCACCTGCCCTGCAGGGTTGAGGCCAGGAGTGTGGGGGTGCGGGGCACAGGCCAGGCAGGTGGAGAGGTGGCTCTGTGCCCTGCCATTTTCTCATGTGCTGCCTTGGTCACCGGGCCTGGTGTGCTCCTCCCCAGGTGTCCTCAGGGGTCATTCTCACTTCTGTCCCTCTGTCCCTCTGTCCCAAGGTCTCAGCAGGCCTTTCCTGACTCGCTGGCCCTCCCTGGCACCCTTCCCTCCTGAATTTCTCTCCCTCGTACCTCTCGCCTACTAAATGGTTTCACTGTTTGGGTTTTGTCTCTGTGCTTCCCTGCTGTCTCCCCAGAACCTGGAACAGAGCCTGAGCATAGTAGGTCTCAGTATTTGGTAAATGATGGAGGTGTCTGCACACAGAGCCTGCCCCTGCATTTGCACAGGGCCAAGGCCTGCAGGAGGCCCAGAGCGAGTGGCAAACGTGTCCCTCCTGTGTGCTGCCCCGAATGAGGCCTGAGGAAGTGGAGGCCCCTGGGAAGTCTCCCTGCTCCTCCCCCATACCCCTCCCAACAAGCCCCCCTCACAGCCTCCTTCCACCTTCAGGCCTGGTCCCCAGGAGGTGGGGACTCCACTCCCTGCTACAGAGACTGGGGGCTCCTTCCTGACCTGACATCAGGCATAAAGGGCCCACATTCCTCCACCCAGGGCCCCTCGGATTGTGTGTGCACACGCAGGCCTCTGTGTGTGTGTGAGTGTATGTGTGAGAGTGTGTGTGTGTGTGTGAGTGTGTACAGAGAATGGGGGCAGCTCTGGCCTGTGAAAACCTGGGCATAGGTTTCGTAACCGCTTCATGGCAGGGCATGACCTACCCTTGCACAGCTTGAGTTCACGGGGAGAGAGGCCATGGGTGGGGGCCTCTCTGACTCCCCTCCAGGACTTTGTACTGACCCCTGGCTCTCCCACCCCTCTTCCAGCATCCAGAGGACCAACATCGCATCCTTTGGGCTGTCCCCAGTGAGGAGGACTTCCTAGCAGTGTCCTATTGTCAAGAGCTGAATGTTCAAGGGGACCAGGGGAATCTGTTCTGGGAATGTGGGCAAAATAAGACGGGGAGAGTCAACTCGAGGCCCGGGCCAGGGCTGGGGGCCCAGGGAAGGCCAACAGAACAGCTCCCACTGGGTGGGCCCTTCGTGAAACACAAAACCTGTCTCCCTACACGCACATGCACACGCACACGAGAATGTAAAGGCGCGACGCAGGCTGGGCTGGAAGACCCCAGAGTGAGAGGGGCTCCCCGGGGATGGAGGGAAATGCCCTCTCTTACTCAGATCCCGAGTTGGAGGGTCTGTTCATGAGCGTGTGTCCAGGTATTACTCACAGCCTTACGTATAAAACTCATTTTCAGCTCAGGACGGAGTGCATCTGCGCCTCGGAGAACTTTCAGATCCAGATCTTGGGGGCTGGGCACCTGTGCCCCTAGGGACTGCCCCCTAGAACCCCGAGCTTTCCAACAGGCCCCGAATTTCCTCACTTCCCCCATCCTGTCCCTGAGGCATGAAGGGCTCAGGCCGCACTTCACAGCTGGCTGAACACAGGCCCGGCCTGCCCCGCGTATGTGCTGGGTCATCCCTTTGTCCCTCAGCCTCGTTTTCCCCACCTCATTACAGGGCCGGTGTCAGAGCCACGGGGAGGGTGTTTTGGGGGGCATTTGGGGACAGAGATCAAGCGAGGCTCCCTTCTCCCTGGC